TGTGGCGTGGGGGCTCCGGCCGGCACGCCAACGACGCAAAGTGCATATTAAATGCCAGGTGTTTGCTGGGCGCTTCATCTTTTTGCTTCAGAGGTGCCTTATAAAAGCTGCTGAAATGCCAGTTACCCCCGTCGTCGTCACTGGCAAAACGCAGGGCCTCTGGTGCTGGGGTAGATTAGGGCCGTTGGAGACAGGCTGCCTGTGGTGAATGACTTCACGGACCCCAATCTTGTGCTCGATCAGAATCCTTTTATTGCTCAGGTGAATAGCTTATATACTAATACAATAGTTACTAGAGCCAATCAGCTTTGGATTCGTGGCTTTGCGAATGCCAGTTGACGGTTGCTGTTTTCCAGGATCTTTTGCAGCTGGATGTGTGAAAACAGCTTATCTCCTGAGAACAGAGAAGGGAGGCGCAGGACGCGCTGATCCTTCAGGGTCATGAGACAGCGCTGTTCTGTCTCAAGTTATATGGTTTCCCACCTCTGCCAAGTACCCGAGGAGCTGCAGCTGTAGGCTCTTGGAAGGAGCCAAGTGCAGGCTGTAGTTCAAGGCAGGACTGAGAAGCGTACACTGGAAGAAACCCTGTGGAGTAAAAGGTGCTAAGGAACAGTGACTGTGGTCTCTCTCATTTTTTCTCTCTTTAGCTAAATTCCTGACTTTTTTGTTTTCCTTCTTTTTTTCCTCTGCATTGCAATTGTTTGCCCAGGCTTTCCACTATGAAATTACCGGTGGCACAGAACTTTATTCAGATAATGAAGCTACATGTTTTTTTGAATAGTTGCTGTCTCTGTATAGCGGAAGTGACTGAAAACATATTTTCACTGGATGTATGCATGGTGAAAGGAAACCTCCTACTCAGTAAATTGCAAAGCCCCAAAACTTGTCGGACTGCTTATCCCAAGGTTGACATAATCAACGATGTGAGGTCAGATTCCTGTCTGTGTGATCTTTTTTTGCCCTTCACATGCTGCATTGGTGGGGCATCTAATAGTTCACAGGGCTACATGCATGGATAAGGTAGCAGCTCATCTCGGAAGCGTTCAGTTGTTTGGCTACTATGAACTGCCAAAGCAACTCTTCCCTGTCACCTCCAAGGAAACATCAATGAGGCTGACCTCAGCACGCAAACCAACAGCGGAACTATGCTGGCTTAGCCAGAAACTGAGATTGTGATAATGTGCTCTTAAATTTTCCTTGTGCATCCAGTGTCTTAGGAGGCAAAGCAACCTAAGGTATTATTGATAGTCTCAGAAACTGGTAGGTTCCTGTACAAGGGAGGGCTAGTTATGAGGTCCTTTTTTTCACCTGGGTATCATCTGTTTTATTTAGTACTTTTCTTTCCCACCATTATCTGGAACTTAGAAGAGTGATCTGAATTATTTGTCTCAGCTGCAGCCCTGACCACCTTAAGTAAGAAGTCTGATACCGCAATTGCCATTCCTACAATTTTTTACCAGTCAGTGAATTAACTATAAATTTAATTTTAAAGTTTAAGGATAAGAAACATTTTAAGGGAGCTGAAAGATCATCCCTGTGTTACCTGAATTTTTATTACATCTGTAAGTGATTTATTTGCTCAAGGTTATGGCAGACTCGTGAACAGAATCTCATTCACTGATACTGTCACTAAAGAACAGTTCTTCCTATACTGTTTTAAGATTAAATACTACATTATTGTATTGTACTATCAAGTCAGTATTAAGGTGCCTATTCTGTTCACCTTTGGTTTTTGTACTTAACCCATCTTTGGCAAGATGGTACAAGAAGTAGGTCAATTACAAGCTACCAAGCTCAGTCATATTGAATAATAAAAAGAAGTATGTAAATATAAATACTTTTCTCAAACACTTAACAGACACGAACCAAAATGTTTCCAGCATTGAGTTCATTGAAGGCCACACACTGGTTTGTGGTGGGTTTTTTGAGGTTTTTTTGTGGTTTTTTTTATACTTTCTTAAGAATGTCAAGCTGAGAGCTGGCTTCTTAGTGCTGTTCTTGATACAAGTTCTTGCATCATTTGTAGGACTCTTAGGGTTTCTTGAGCACTTACTGGCCTAAAAAAATCCTTGGGGAGAACTTGAGCACTTCATGGACTTAAAATCATTGGTTTGAGCTTATCCAGTCTTTTTCTGTCTACTGGTGTTTTTTGTGCTTGCCTCAGGTTCCAAAGTAGGCATCTTTGCCAGAACAAGTCTGGTCTCTAAATTTAGAGTTAGATTTCTCAGAAAGCAAAGCTTAACACAGTTGTGACATATGGTTGCTGGCCTGACCTCCCCCTCTAATGAACTTGAATCTTTTTGCCAGTTTCAGCCAAATCTGAGTCAAGGGTCAAAGTCCCAAACTCCAAAATACTCTCCTTTAAGTTTTTGTGAAGGCTGGTAATGGGGAAACAGACAATCTAATGCTTATCTCTACCCTCCTGAAGGAAAGGAACCTCACTTTACTCATACTGCTTATCACAAGCATGCTCACTGGCCACTCACTGTAGGCTGGTTTTAATTCATATTTCATTAAAATAACATTGGACTAGAAACCCTAATAAATCTTTTCAACCCTGCTGTCTTTGATTTCCTGTGATGCCCTAGGGGACTGACATACTAGTCTGAATCTATGCGACAAAAGTAATAAGGTTATTAAATTGGATACTCTTCTCCAGAGGTAGTTGTTACGTAAAGCCATGTTGTAAATACGTAAGTAAATACAAATCCCCAATAAAGGTTAAAGGAATGCGTTTCTGCGAGTAGATTGTTTTGAATACTTTCAGAAAGTTTTTCTACAAAACAAAAAGTAGATTACTTTTTTTAACATAAATCCAAGGCTTTAGAGTAACTTAACAGTCTAGAAGGAGAGCAGGTTTTCCATGAAATCAAGTCAAAGTATGGGAGCAAGTAATGCTTAAACAACTTTGGTAAATGCTAGCACTATACTGGAATATGTAAATAGAAGTATCTTTCATAGGAGAGGTGAAACAATCATTCTGTTATTCTGTTCTACTTAGCACTGGTGCGGGCTTAACTGGAAAATTGTGCGTGATGTTAAAAAAAAAAAAAAGGAAAGATGGTGTCTGCTAAGAAGCAACCAGCATGATCAGAAGTTAAAAATGCAGACACTTCAGGAAAGACTAAAATAATTGTGTTTAGAGAAGACTTAAAGGAAACATGATAAATGTGTAAATATTTGTGAGAAAGATGAGAATTGTATTCTGTTATTTTTGATGTAGATAGTGCAAGTGTGCTGAAACTGTGGCAAGAGGAATTGTGTATACTTAAGCACTGAAGTAGATTAGTTTCAGTCATCTCCACCATTGAAGGTTCTTACTGGAAATCTTCCACTTTGTGTCCCAGAATTGATTCTAGGTTTTGATCAGAAGAGGAACTGTTCTTATCTGTGAGGTTCTAGTCTTTTGTTAGGAAATCTTTTGTTAGGAAATGCCCTTTTTCACTACTCTTGTCTTTTAAGAGAACTGAGGGCATGTTCTGTGTTTGTTGTACCGGGCTTCCATTGTCAAGAACCAATTCTGCTTCTAAAATAACTTCATAGCCCAAAAAGATTTTATAACAGAAATCAGTATGAGTTAATAACAATATGGCCCTCAAAGTGTAACGTTCTTGTGAGCTGATAGTTATAAATCTTCCTGTTCCCTAGTCATGTTTCTGTAACACAGGAGATAACTGTATGAAATCTCATCCTCACACATAGATTCATGTATCATGAATTTCTAATTTTTCAAAGTATTGTGCA